TAATTGTTTTAAATAATTTTTTTATTTAAATCAATCATAGTAAACTTAATAAAATTGTACATTGATCAAAGTTATCATACCATTTTAATATAGAATAAGAATAGATGACAAAAAATTGAAATAATAATGAAGAAACAAACCCTAGATAAACCTTGAGAAGGATTGTGGATGCGCACTATTGAAGATTCGCACAATAGGATGAAACGGCCATCTAGTGTTTCCAGGTATTCCACAGTGATCTAACTTCAATTGATTCATGAATTCATCTATTAAAAAATTACTACAATATCCATAAAACCCCTTCTGAAATTAAGAATATGGTTTATAAAGATAGAGTGAAACGGTATATATAAAGGAATATTGGTGCACAAAATTTAAAATAATATAAGTAGTGAATGTATTTTCCCCGCTATGAGCAATTCTTAATCATGTTGCCCAATGTTTCGAACAACTGACTGTGGTTTTCGTGTATACACTTCATACAAGTAGTCTAGATCTACCAATATGGATGAGACCAACAGTGAGTGACTTTATGGTCTGATGCGATGTTTTGACTTGGCACTCCTAGCTTTCAACTCACTCCTACATCAGTCAACAATGCCTATTACGGCAAGAAAAAGGTAGCTAGCTGAAATATTATTTTTTAAAATAAACGCTTATTCACTAACCTAAAGATTATTTTATCAACTTAATGTTAAATCGTAATAATAATAATTGTTATATCCTAGCGAACATTAAATTACGAGTAACTTCTGAGAATTATTAATTGGGTAATATTATACGCATATTCTTAATGTATAACTATTCAGTAATTAGATTATGTATATATTCCTCTTATTATAAGACTCATTTTGACCTATAGATCATTATTATACCACTAACTGTTCTTAAGTTACGTTCCGTTTATTAATTACAGTCTCCCACAATCACAGCCATTTTTTGGCTTCATCTTGTACAAATGTCATTTCCCATTGTATGGTGTGATGTGGTCTGTTTGGCTGGCATATAAACCGAGTATGTTTGAAATAAATGATTCGCATAGTGGAAGCTGTTATGGGTGGTTTGGACACAAGTGGACGGGCTAGGCAAATAAAGGATCAATAAGGATGCTCGGATGCTCATACAGGTCGGATATCATTGGTTTAGCACAATACTAAGATTGAATAAGTTGTATTTCGATTGGCGAATAAATCACGTGATAACTAGCCTGGCTTAAGGTCGCAATAATAATAATAATAATATTTACTTTACTCAATTCCATAAATTTTGTCACAGTAAGAAATTCTCAACACCAGTTGTGCAATATTTCAACAAGTTCCGCTTTAACATACGTTCACATCATGACTATTCAGTGAGATAAGAATTTGTAACAGTCAATATCTGCCAGTCGTCTTCAATCGCGTAAGCTTTACATCTGCCATAACTAATTTTCCTATCCATCATATATAAGATGCACATATTCTACTATATTCGTATCTCGTTTTTTGCAAAGGATAGACAAGGTGAAAGATATACCAGTAAATTTTGTCTTTGATTGAGTTTTCCAGTGCTTAGTATTGCAATAATTTGTAATGCTTTTATTATAAGCACGTGAGTACAAACGGTTAGTATTCATCAGTATTTAGTTCAAAAATTAACTAATATTTGCTGTTGGAAAATAGGTGGTCTGTACATTTAAGTAGATCTTCACCATACAATATCTGTCAATCAAACAACTATACTGAATACTACTACTAATAATAATATGCTCACCGATGACTAGCCACAAGATGGAATTCCTAAAGTTCTAGTGAGAACTTCTAAGCAGTAGAATTTAATCAATTTTAATATGAGGGAAGATGGTTATGGAATATCGTGAATTAATTTATTTAAGAAATATACAATATGGGGAGCGGCTCAGTGATCTGGAGGTTAGTCATTGGCAAACGAAAATGGACATCCTGAATTCGGTTTCATGTGGCAAGGCCGTTAGTATGCACTGACAAGGAGTCCCAAACTAGAATGAGACAGTTGTCTAGTGCTTCCTAGTTTTCAGTGGTGGTCTGGCTAAGGTTACTTCGTGGTTTAAATCGAAAATTCTACAATCTAGACAACCCCCTTTTGTACTAATTATACTGAATGAACTAGTATCTGTTGTGATTTAAGCATCAAGTGGCTGAACCAATTAATTCCGTACTAAATGAATACATTTTTTAAAAACAGGACCTAATGACCGAGTATATGAGTGGAGTGTCGCTAACATGAGCGCCTTTTCGGATTTGAAACTCATCATTCGTATTTACACGGTCGAAAAATTCAGTCAAATTATTAACAACGGGATAATTCAAACTCTTATAAATTAAATCAACTCAAATCTATTTTATGACCTACTTTGTACGAATCTGTTAAATGTTTCTAAAAACGGCTAACATATTTACGTTTATGTTTGGCCTACAATACTTGTAAATCCAGGAATGACTGAGCTATTCAAATGCAAATTGTTCTGGGGCGGACTCGAGAACAGTAGTTGACATAATCATGTAATCACCGGAGCGAAATCACGGACATATATCACTAAGAAATAGAGACGATTTAGTCGCTCATCAAATTTCAATTAGTACATGACAGCGAGTCCTGAAATATAATGTATAAAAGACAAGTAATTTTACTGCCTTGATAAAAACAAATTCGGTTATGTATTGAGCCGATATCTGAAAGAATGACCTAATAATACAGAAATTATTGTGCTGAAGACTTTTCTTAACTGAATATACATATTCCCATGATTTTTGTTAGCATTGGTTAATATTCAGTGTTTTAGGATCAGTCACATTTATTCGTTTGAATTTTAGACTGGCTGTTATCAGCAATTATCCACTATGAACAGTTCCAGTGAAGCACCGCTGTGTATGGTAAATGAAAACCACGAATATATCCGAAGCTGGAGGTTGAAATATTTTTAATGAAAACTAATCCTTAATATGTAGCACTCACCCACTAGATTGACATAAATAACCGAAAGTCATTGGTGTGACAAACTTAAAGGAAGATGTGGATTTTCTCAGTCGTCTTAGCACTAATCCAGTTCATATTGACTAACTTGTGCAAGTTGGAAGAAATGTTCAACATGACCAGGTCTCGTGAACTGTTATTAGTCTCATTGAGAATTTCAAATTACATTTGACTATTCCTATGAGTTGTGAATTTCCATTAGTGCAAAATAACCACAGTTCGAAGACATTCTCAATATGAAATTGGGACATGACATCGGTCAACCATAATAACAAGAAATGATATTCTGAATAGGTTTGTCAATAACTTGGATTCAGTAACTCAGTGGATCATTCGTTCTTTTAAAAAAGACGCTAAATTCCAGCTTCAATGTGATGTGGCGGACACACCCACCTGACTAGCCCGAAGTCAGACCAAACATATATCGCCGATTACACTACCAGTCATAATATAACTATTCGAAAGGAGAATTGTGTTCTATTAAAGTTTATTGATTTCCTAATTCATTTTGTAGATTCCAGTTTCACGTCTCACATATAACTAGATAAACTCCATTGATTTACGCATCATTTAGAATATTTTCGTTTTCGTATTCACATCATGGATACCATTCAATCTGACTGAAAATATTGTTTACTCATAGCAAACATCTACGCTATGCAAGTCCATTCTTCTTTGAAATAATGCTTCGAAGTAGGAAAATCATATGAGAGTCAAATACATTATTTTCAATCAAACTACTAATTAACTTATACTGATACAAATAATTAATTATCATCACTTCCAATCTTAGCACACTTTCCATATCTATGTGAGAGTCTGTGTATTTTTATTGACCTCATTAAAAATTAAGTTGGTCTATAAGAATTAATTGAACAATTATTAACATATCAACTGATTACTAAATCAATCCAAACTCCTTACAGGGTAATTGACTCACTGTCATAATCTCTGTTTTAATTAGTATAGAACACTGTAGAAGAACCTTATTCATTATACACTTTAAACAATTATTAATGCAACAAAGAATTCACGAGAAATAAGCACCATTCAAACAATCCGAACTCAGGACCTACTGGTTTCGCGCGCGAGCACTTAACCATTAGACCACTGAGCCGGCATCCAACGGTGTTAATGTCTAACTTCAACCAATCCACGAAGTTGCACCACCGTATACCATTGTCTTCAGTGAGCTGATATCTCACAACAGACCTGGTTGAACTACACTGGTAACGGCTTCCCACTAAAACTTCAATTAACGTTTCAAATGTCACACTGTCATAATCTCTGTTTTAATTAGTATAGAACACTGTAGAAGAACCTCATTCATTATACTCTTTATACAAGTATTAATACAACAAAGAATTCACGAGAAATAAGCACCATTCAAACAATTAACTACGACGAATTATTAAATGTCAAAAAATCAATAATCAGTTAATATTGTGATATCATCTAATATTCTTACATCGATAACTGTCAATCTAAACTCCGCTCATCTCAACATAATATAACAACACCAATCTATTCATTATTCATTTTCATCATACTAAATTCTCATGTAATAAACACAACCACACCGCTTACAATTAATCACCAATCTCATTTAACTATATCATCTCATCACATCAAACATCATTCCATCTTCAACAACTATCCCAACATCACAGTCAGTATTCCTCAAAGAAACAATCTAATCAATCAAAAGTCAGTCACATAAACACACGCTGAACACTTGAAAGTGTCCACAAAGTAATCAACAAAAGATAAATAAGTACTCGATAAAATAAAAATGCAGCAAAACAAAAGAAAAAACAAGGTTTCTGATCACAATTCTTCCACACTCGAACCACAATGGGTAACACGGCCATGCCCGTCTGTTTATCCATAATATATGTGAGTGTGAGAGTGTACGTGTTTGTGTCCATATATAAATGCATGTATGTATGTGTATATGCATGCTTTAGCACCCTATGTGTACAATTACATAGTTGAATAGTTGTATATGCACGCATTATATACAAACACATAGGAACTCGATACAACAAACAACATACATACATAGTTAGATAGAAAGATAGAGTTAAAGCAAGGGAACGATGCGTACATTCATACAGAGGTCAACTAAGACTTCTCATTCCGCTCAGTCAATGCACTGTTCAACAAATTCCAATAAACGACGACCGTAGAATTCCGGTTTCACAGAACCACCATCAGCACCATGTTTCACTGTTTTGTAAGTTTGCGCTGTACGTTTACGCATCCCATAACGGGTTAGTATGTCGATAATAGCCACAAAATAGATCAGTGGATGAGGAGAATCTGTCAAACAACAAGGAAAACAGGATAACACAGCAATATAATCCATATGAGGAGCAACGTATTTCATCAATATATATATATATATATATATATATATATATATATATATATATATATATATATATATATATATATCAAAAATCTTTACTATTGAAACAATGTCTGCCGTTCACGCACTTCACTCAAACATCAGTCATTCAAACGACTTCCTTTCGATGCAAATTCATAAACCTACATCTTGAATGACGTGTACCGTGTGCATGTGTACATTTATTCAACAACAAACTGTTTTTATAAACACAAATATCAGAGAACAATCGGATGAATACACACGGCAAAATATTGAATAGTCTACATCTAGAATCTCCTCGTGTCTACCTATTATACTGGACATTAAGGAGTGCACGAAATAGTCTCCATGCTGCTCCTGTCTCATCTGTTCCCCTTTTACAACATTAACCGACCATAACTGATACCTCAATGCGATGGCCATGTTTCTTTAGTGTGATGACCCAATCGAACTGTTGGTTCGGACAATTGTTCCACTACCACTCACTCCCCTATTCCGCACAGGTCGGTTGCAACGTCATTAAATTTATCAAGCTAATAAAAACATCCGTCGATTTCTGCCGTACACCAGACTGATCCAGTCACTCTCACTGAAAATGTTCACACTTCACTCATAGGTTTTGTAGAAACGAGAATTAATGCTCCACACACACACACAAACTTTAAACATCATGTATTTCATTGAAAAAATACAAACACAAAATATCCTCTTACCAATTGAACTTTTGATTCCATAGTGTTCCAAAGTAGGATGCAATTCACCTGAGAATAATTGAGGTAGACATTCTGCACCAGGTGGACTATCCGGTGGGGTCAATTCACCTGAAACGAACAACACAGAGAATGTATACAAAGAAAGCCAAACCAACTAATGAACTGCATCTTCGTCTATCTTCAAGTCTTTACATACAATTCTCATACAATCAAGCAAACATTAGTCCATCCGCGTGATGCGCAATACGATCAACCATTCATGGATACACAGGACTGGTCTGCGTTAACACCTGAACTAAGGATAGGGAGTGAAGTAGTCGAACGCGTTGACAACTTCACTTATCTTGGAAGTCTGATCAGCCCTAATGGGTTAGTGTCTGACGAAATCTCAGCACGGATTCGAAAAGCTCGTTTGGCTTTTGCCAACTTACGCCACCTATGGCGAAGGCAAGATATCCGTCTATCAATAAAAGGACGAGTATACTGCGCGGCAGTCCGTTCTGTTTTACTTTACGGAAGCGAAACATGGCCATTAAGAGTAGAAGACACTCGTAAGCTATTAGTATTTGACCACAGATGCCTCAGAAATATTGCTGGCATCTGCTGAGATCACCGGATAAGTAATAGTGAGGTTAGACGCAGGGTATTAGGAAATGATGGTAAATCAGTTGATGAGGTTATGAATCTTCATCGACTGAGATGGTTGGGCCACGTGTTACGTATGCCTGAATACCGATTACCACGACGTGCAATGCTATCCGGTATTTGAGATGGTTGGAAGAGGGTTAGGGGCGGCCAAACCAAAATGTGGCATCAGTGCTTGAAGTCACTAACTTCTAGTCTGAGCCATGTTGGTAGATGCAGACTACTTGGTTGGGGTCCGCGCGACTATCGTAACCAATGGTTGGAGACTCTTGGTGACATGGCTCAGAATCGATCACAATGGCGTCGGTGTATACACTCTCTGTCTTCCCTTAAACTAAGAGATTAAAATTGCTTCATATCTTTCTTTCTACGAACCAATTATTTCTTCTTGTACTATATCTCCATATGCAGTCTTTCTCTTATATATTACCACCTTTGACCCAACCACTGCTATGAATCCGGTGTTCATCTTGTTGTACTGATGCGGTATGGCAACCTGGACCGATGCACATATGTGCCTGGTCCTACGTTGTAGCTGACTGACTGACTGAATCTATCTATCCATCTACCTTTCTACGTACCTTTCTTCCAATGTCAGCCATCGTTGTACGCACTGGATACACTTAGTTTGACATCAAGGCCACTTGAAATCATCAAAAGTAGAACAACATACAAATTACCGCACGAATAATACATCAACGCACAACACATCCAGGTCATCATACATGCACAACTACACACGCACACTGACAGGATGGAAGCTGAGAGAACCATCGAGTCATTCCACTTCAGTTGGAAGGAAATACCTCATAAGCATTGTCTATTTGGAGTGATTAGACAAATTCAGTGGAAAATATTACCAAACAACGTCTTTCACCAGGAGAGATATGCACACACCCATTCCAAAATAATAATATAATAAAAAAAACAATTACCACTTCACAATAGTAATAACATCTCACTGCAATCAGTCTTAAAATGAATTCTCATCAAATGTACATATACACGTGTGCAGCATTGTTTGTTCTATCATGCACCCATCACAATAAACACACACACACACACACTCAGGAAAATCAGCTGACAACTTCACCGTTTGCAATCAACTCATTGTACAATTCGCATAAACATACAATGTCATTTGTGCTTGATCAACATCAACCTTATTCACACAACTCCGCATTCAACAACACAAACCAGTCACACAATCAGTCAGTCGATGAAATCCAATTACAATTATAATGTTAATTAATGCTAAGACAGAGTAGTCAGTCGAATTGAACTCTCTAACAACAAATGGAATAACACAAGAATAACAATATCACACATACTTGTAGGGACTTGTGTATTGTTCTCTGGTATACTGATCCCGTCCTCCTCTTCATCGTCATCATCACCTGTGCTCGCATTCCCAGTGACAACACCACAACTAGCAGCCTCGGCAGCTGCTGACGAGCTCAGACCAAGCACAATACTCGATCTAGCCATCGACAAACGACCACATTGCCATTGTGAGCTAAGTGTTCCAAGACCGTCACCTGCAGACACCATCCTGTCATCGAAGCCTCGACTGTTAGGCTCCAACACACCACCACCAGTCCCTTCACCGTCATCACCAGCATCCTCAATTGAATTAGCCAATGCAATCTCGGGATTATGCACTCCAATAAGAAGGCTGTAGTCGATCAAATTGTTCTCCTGTAAGAACTGTCATGAGGCAAAAAAAAGAAACAAACAAACACAATCACAACATTGTGCATCACTAAGTAATCCAACACATGCATATCGAATGTCTACCACAAACCAGAGGGAGACATCAACAATCAAATGCACATCATGTCAATTCATTCAGTCAATACATTGATTACCAATTCAACCAATTCCTATTCAGTATGATACAAGTCAGTCGCTCGACACTTGTTACTGAGATATCATTTCACAATATACACTGCACTAATGATATAACACTGATCACTGTTCAAATACTATCGTTGCTCATTCATATTTCGAGTAATAATCAAAAGTCACAGTTAGTTACCAAAGCAAGATTATGGAAAAACTGTTTATTACTAACTCAATGATAAACTACTGTCAATTTGTTATCAGAACACATAGTTCGGTCTCCATCTTTACCTACTATCATATTCTTAACACAGGAATCACTTACTCGGTCCTCCCAAAATACACCAGCAATGTTTCCAAGACGCCTACAACCAAATACTAGGAACCTAAGAATACCCTATATTCTTAATGGTCATATTTCACGACCGTAAAGTCTCCAACTCCCCTAGGTAGACCCTTCATAACCACCAACCAGGTTAAGGCGCCGGACGTTCGCCTTTCGTACTCTCAACTTCGTAAATAACGCCCGCGCCACGAGAAAGCAGTGTGTAGCACTTCCTTGGTTCTGGTTGTAAGCACGTGGCCATGTGAGAGCGTTTCGAGAGGAAGAGTGGATTCTCCCCACTCTCGGTTGTACCAGCGCATTTCGGGGCCGTCTCCATAGGTGACGTATCCTGGCAAAAACCAAACAAGCTTCTTCAATGCGTGCAAAGATTTAGTCAGACACCAACATATTGGGGCTGATCAGAATTCGAAGATAATTAAAGTTTTCGACAACTTCACTCCCTATCCTTAGTTCAAGTGTCGAAACAGGTCAGACCTGAGAAGCAACAATTTCCATCTCAAGTAGAAGAAACACATCCTAAACATCCAGGCATTGTTACTCAGTGCTACCAAAACACTATGCATTTCATCAGCATCTTCGTTAAACAGGACTATGTCATCTGTGTATTCTAAGTCGAAAAGTGGATCTCTTAGTAGGAGATCAATGCCCGAAAATCCAGTCGATGAGAGCGTTATTTCCATCAGTAGCTCTATGACAAGATTGGACACAAATGGAGATAGTGGACAGACTTGACGGACACCATTTGACGTTGCGAAGTCAGATAACAGTTTGCCACAAGCTCTGACTCGACTGGTAGTGTTCGAGTAAAGAGCTTTCTCAAGGTTTTTTACTACTGAGGTACGTCTTTCAATGACAGACACTGCCACACAATCTCCCGGTCTACAGAATCAAATGCCAGATTTAAGTCAAGAAAGACCAGCATTGCCGGACGCCGATAAGCATGTTTGTGTTCTACAAAACCCGACGAATGGTGAATATGTGGTCGATACACCCACGACCAGGTCTCAAACTAATCTGCTTTTCTCGTGTTTGCACTTCACAAGTATTTGTTAGGAGCCCGATAATTACTGACGCTAGCATTTTAGATGCTATTCAGTTGAGTTTTAAACAGGTTCACATTACAACACAGCAAACCAACGTAGCACAGCCGTTATTAGCAACGTTCTGGATATCCACGTGTAACAAGGTGTATCAGAATATGTTGCACCGATCTCATGCAAATTACACACACACACACACACAAATGGTAGGAGACACTCAGGATGAAATCAATTCTAATATTAATTGGACGATTCCGATTACCTCCCATTGTGATGCATCGTACACCTCTCTACTAAAACAGATGTTAACCGCTGCACATAACTGCACAGATTGTGGCAACACACATATTGGTATTCATGATAGTAATAATAGTAATGGTTGTGAAATCTCAGATGATCAATGAGTGCAATCGAAAGTGTTACACAGTATAACAAACACGATTTAGAACTAAATAAAATATCTAGACACCTTAACTGTTTCACGACGCAGCATACGACATACAAATATCTAGATCACATTAAAAGTAAATTACAACGGTACAACAACACTGAACACAATGTAGATATGCGCTATTCACAAATTCAATAATTCATACGTTAGTAATGAAGATTGAAAGTGTAGGTGTAGACAGTTGTAACACATCACACCATGTGCTACAACAAAACAGTATTCCTAGTAGGGTTACCACGTCACATGTTTCCTTCATGTGATGCGTGCAGATCAGCATAGAAATTGTGGAAACACAAACAACCACAACAATACGAAGCAGAGAAGCGAACTTTTCAAGGTCTCGTTGAAATCATATTGATGAAACTATGTACACTTCATTAGCGAAAAGAAGCGAAAAAAGACAGAGTAGAAAATAAAATGTCAGGTTCATTCTCATCTTTCGATGTAATAAAAAGAACAACAGAATAATAAGAGCAAACTAATCGATAATTAGAAGACACAAAAAAGATATGAGGAACTCAAAAGCTCACATTTTCAGAAAGAGTCAAACAGTAGATGCACCTGGGCACCACAAACCATTTCCAGCCATGTCATTCAAAGTATATGACCATTCGTTACAATAACCATACGGACCCTAAGCAGCTAGTCTACACAATTCACATGGCTCAGTCCAATTGTTAACAACTTCATGGACTGATGCCATGTTTCGGTTTGTCGACTTCTAACTTTCTTCCATACTATTCCTACACCATACAATATCGTCCGTTGAGATCGGTGGTGGTTGAACACACATAACACATGTCCCAACCATCCCAGTCGATGAAGAAAGCTAACGCAAAGTTCGGTCTCCACCTTTACCTACTACCATATTCTTAACACAGGAATCACTTACTCGGTCCTCTCAAAATACACCAGCAATGCTTCCAAGACACCGACAACCAAATGCTAGGAACCTAAGAATACCCTCTATTCTTTAATGGTCGGACGCCTCGAACAACCATTAACGCTAACATTTTGGACACTACATTAGTTAAACCGGTTCCTTTGTGATTGTCACAAGTAAAACAAAGGCCAGTTGAACTGTTCCCTAAAGTGTTCCGTCAACCGATACAATCTCCTGCACTGAGAGTCAATAGTAATCCCAGCTTTTACCGGCCTAGTCACACTAATAGAAGGATTTTTAATACACACATCCTTGATAAGTCTGAACAGTTATCTACTGTTACCTATCGACGATGCCTTTTTCATCTCTTAGGCTTTCACTACACACTCACCACTGCTCATAATCATACTCAATATGCACAGTGAATACGAACATGCTCACGAGATTTGCATACACTGACACAAAATTCTCACCTCTTCTACTGCATTAAGTGATATGAAATCTACTAAGTAAATCTCCTCAGGGTTATGTACGAAGTCAATGGTTTGTCTGACAGCCAAATGTTTTACAAACGACAAATATCACCATACTATGGATTAATAATAACACATAACGGTAAGCAGCATACTGTACTCTCGAATCACAATAACTGTAAACATATTCAATAGGAAACTCCCTTCAAACAACACTAAAGAAGAAAATGTCATAATTATAACATAATAAAATCAACTAGTCACATGAAAGTGAGGGGAGTAATTATGATTATGATTATGACGAAGATTAGAGTGGTGATGAAGATGGCACAGTCGATTGTAGGAAAGTGCATCCAAGTGTGGAATTCATTGTCAAGAACAAAGTAAAACATATTCTCAACATCTGTGAAATTTCGATTCTTTCTTAAGTACCGATGGCATGACTACTTCAAGAGTACACAAGCACTACATGTGATCTTGTCTTATTGAAAGTAACCATTTAAATGTGAAACTATCACACCACTACCAATCACAAACTCTACACACTTCCCAACAGAATACGAACACACAGTCAGTCAGTGTTCCTATTCGTTCACTTCACAATTATGACTCAGTTCAAACTAGCAGTATATACAGAATATAACAGCAAGACATCTTCGAAAATCTGTCACATACTTGAAAAATCAATCTACACAAAACCGACAACATAATGGTAAAACACATGCATCATGCACTCAGCCAATCAATCAATCAGTGAAGCAAGCAAGCACCTACCTGTATATCACATTCCAGAGTACTCAACATCTTCTTTTTAGACTCTTCACCAATATGCATTTTGCACAAATCTGTTAAAAAATCTGCATCTTTCAGAGTTGGCAAGGGCTTTGACTATACAAATAGTAAATACACAGAACAATTAATACACAGTGAAATGAAACAAGTCAACGTATGAGTGATTCACACTTACTTCGATCATTTAATCTTGGTAGTCAATGTGGTTACGCACACAAACGATTGGTGTAGCTACTTCACTTATTACTCTCCCGATCAAACAAAACTTTTCGTAACTTCATAATGAAAAACTACCCAACTTGCAAACATCGGTAACTCACACGCATCCCAGTGATTCATGTCAAACCAAACTACAACTCTTTCATAGTTGACAATATGTGAAAATATTTAAGACTGAAATGACGACAGTCAATTAAAGTTGAGAAAACTCCAACACTATGCTAAGTAATGTCTGATATGACTACAGGGAACATTCACACTTACAGTAGAGAAGCCTTCTAAGCAAGACACATCTCGTCTTCAATAGATGTCAACATACTCAGTCAATATCGACATCTCCACAGATTTCTCAGTCGGTATCAATACAACTTTCCAGTTCTTCGAGCAACAAAGTCAAACCAATTCGAGATTCTACAAGGACCGATTGACATTAAATAATTATAATAGAGTACACACAATATCATCGCTAAGAAGTCTCTCCTCTCGGCAAAACGATTAAGAGGAAAAGATTCGCAATTCCACATCAAGTGAAGGGACTGCATTTCCTCTCTGTCGTCTACAACAAAAAACGACAACTCAGTCACCTCAATTCTTTTCTCTTCGAAAACACATCGCAATCTGCTGTTCACTACCTTCACACAATGCTCATCACACCAAAATATTTACCACTTTCAATAATGGTACCAAAACAGGATACATTCTATGCTTTATTATACAAATTCAACTATTAGATTTTACTGGTAATTTGCACATTTCTACTTTGTTTACACTCAATCACTGAACAAAATAATTGGTATCACAAAAATAAAAACAAAAAAACAAAATTAAATCCAATACACATGATAATCATTCACAATGGTGATAGATTAAAAGAATCAGGGGGAGAGACAATACTAATATTTTTGTTTAAATGCACAAATCCAAACACAAGAGCACCTTGAAATGAAGCGACACAAGGAGGGAAACAATGGCGTTAAGGAGGAAACAGGTGGTGCACAAATGTTACAAAGTACACAAGAACAACAACAACAGCAACATAATACGTTGTTTAACTATAGTCAGAGAAAGATGTACACAACAATACGGCATGTACAGTGAAAGCATGATATTATGCACAACAATCATATATTCACACGAAGCTTTGTACAATGAAAATGCAGCACAGCAAATATCGTTGTTGTAAGTAGGAGATAAATAAATTCAATGTACTTATGACCATTGTGGCAGTAATACCAACAGTTGGCAGATAAGACTACTACTACTACTACTACTACTACTACTACTACTACTACTACTACTACTACTACTACAAGCTAACATGATGATAGCGATGATAATTACTGCCAATCATAAATTGAAACTATTTGTCACCCATTTTATACAACTGGCTCAACTGAATTTATCTAACAAGAGTAACAAGAAATGTAATCGATCAGTTGAATGAGTGGCAAAATCATCAGACAGTAGCCACACACAACAACCTTAGATAACAGATAGTGTTTATGGCTGACGAGTCATCATTGAACAAATTGTCTTTGCTTCATAACAGACATCGACGCGATTCTGTATTTCACTTTCGCGTAAATAGTAAATTAGTGGTTGGTTTGAGCCTCTAAACAGACGGTCTAGTAAGAGCCCACACGACTACGTTAACATGATCCCGTTTATATCACTATAAATCTGAGTAGGGAAATTCTTATACTAACCATCTTTTCCTCACCTACACTTTACCACTCGTTAGTTTTTCAACCAACCATGACTGTGTCTACCGAATCTGAACTGTACCGACTAAATATCTGGCTTACTAGTCCACAAGATAATGCCATCTTCCAACTAAACCCACTGCATTCTCGACAGTCGGACAGTACCCTTAGGTAATACTCAAGATGCGTGACCATAGTGTCTTACCGAAACATGGATGTAATCAATCAGATGAATTCCCATTAATCATCAGTGGTTCTCTTTTAATTCTGACTTTTATTTCCTACGCATAAATCTATACTTGTATGTGGACTTATGACACTAACCATGCAACAATTATAGAACATTATGAATTTTAAACTCTGTAACAATTTGAAGGAATGTTTCATGTCCTTAACAAAGTCACACATACATATAAACACATTCATAGAAAATATTCTATCTGTACAAACTCATTTCACATCATACTAATTTTAGTTATTACACATTCAATTGTCATTGGTCAATATGAATAAGACCTAGTACCACGCAATCAATAATTCTAGAATGTACTGACTATACAGCAAACACTAAAGACTAACTACGCAACAGACCGTAGACATCTTGCATCATCATTTCATTGCTCAATGTCTTCATCTTAGAAATAATCCACAAAACCATGCAGCCCATAGATAAAACCTCGTCTTATATAAGGTCAATTTTAGTTCAGAAAATGACTACCTTATATTCAGTCCCGAGAATGACACGTGATAATAGAAAAGCTATTGATAACAACACCCCGAACAATTTTTAACCAAATATTCAGTCAGTAGACTTCGAGCAGTCTGCAAATAGGAATCACATACAATCTCTTCATTGTACAGTACTACACTCTGTCAGACACAGGCTCCGACATCATAAGCTATTTTCTTGCTGAATAAAACTTCAAGACCTATAACATGCAACGTAAAGTCACATTCCAAGAAACATATTTCCACATACATTTAACAATATAATCTGATAATGAATAATTTCGAATTGTACAATTACATCGTATTGGAGAAGGTGAATGTCAATTAGTTAATGATAATAGACAGTCAGACAGAAACATCCGTACTGCAATATACACATTTCCCAGTCTGTGTATTCGTCATTATATATAGTTTGCTCACGTCTAAACAGTGTTTCTGATCGGCTTTTGGATGCAGTGTGAGTAAGTAGTTATGTGGCTAGGTTTATAGCGCCAAGCGAATGAGACACCATCAACACTTAAGAAAACATTATTTCCTGTGGTAATTACCATAATACAAATTTACCCACTAATACTCATAAACAAGTTGTCCAAGTATTATTTAATACTTGAAATCCATAAGATATGGTCCTTGGTAGCATAGCATATCGATTAAGCCAACCACCACCACAACTATGTGTACACTATACTTACCGGGTAGAATAGATAAAAACAACGTGTTTTCATGACACCATGTCTAGAAGTTTATCACAGCAAACATTCAACTACAACGCGTAGACATGTGTTTCAGATGTCTCGTGCTGACAACCACATAACAACAGAGAAAGCAAGTAATCACAAATCTGCCTAACACACTGAAAACAAATGCACAAACACATTCCATGCAAACACGGAAATTGACTGATATCACAGTGAAAAAGATCATGAACACAACGATGATAATGACGAAGAGAAAGAAAATGATGTGAGCTCACCTTCTCCTTTTCGTTGGCTTCACGATCCACAGCTGAGCCCTAATTACGAGGATAAGGATACAGTGCATGGACGACTAACTCAACAAGTTTTTGGGTAACACTAGGCAAAACGACACACGTTAGATGATGAGCACAGTCCAAAAACAATAGTCGAGACAGATGGATGATTACTACTACTGTTGTGTCCCGAAAAGAATAATGAGTGGTAGTTTTTTGGGATCTATTTGTGGACCAATACTATACGTATATTTTTATCGTACGATGTGGTCTGCTTGACCGGTATATAAACAGAGTATGTTTGAAATACATGATTCATATTGCAGAGGCTGAGATTGGCGTTCTGGACTTAACTGGCTGGGCTAGGCGGAAAGTATGAACAATCAGAACTCTAGGCTGCTCGCGCGTGTTTTACGCATCCTTGATCCGATCGATAATTCGCTGCTTCTGATTGGCGGCTTTGGGCTATAACAACTACAGAGATAAAAACAGTAGTTAGCACCTACGTTCATGAGAAGTTACATACGAATCCAACTAATTATTTTGATGGAGTTTTGTTCTCTGAGCTGGATGGTTTGGTCGTGGAGCTTTCATCGTTCTTCTAAACGACATCATCAGCACAAATTTCAGAGAGCAAAACTCCATCAAAATCATCCACCTGAGCTACAAATCTTCTCCACTATCTCAAAACTAATTATTACTTCAAAGTTTTCACCAAAAGCAGAATTATCTACACAAGGAAGGTGACCGTGCGAAAATACTATTGATAGGTCTTCATTTAAAACGCATCTGTGGCTGTTTGCCAGAATATTCAAATAAGCAAACCATATGGAAATATGAAAGTTGTTTCAACAATGCGTCCAATGCACCTCTAACGAGTACAACGTGTCTATCTGTATGTTTGTCCCGAAGTCAAACTCACTGTATGACAGTAAAACTAACATCTGGATAGCACAGCCAACGTGGGACAGGATTCATAATTGAGATCTAATGGTTGAATGCCAAATAGAAAACCCGTTGCACACAAGTTTAACCAATGTTTAATATTTTCACAACTGTGATCACTTTTCAGAACTCGGTCAGCTAGGCTCGCAGCCCAAAAGTGGTTTGAAGTGTCAAGTGTTAAATATTTAGAAACAGCAACACACTTAGTCAAGGTGATTCCGTATGAGACAACACTGTGTTTATTTATGTGTATGATGGTGGGTATATAAAATGTGCAATTTGTACTATGAAGGAGTAGAATTAGTATTTCAGCTGTATATGTGTAGATGGCGTGCAAAATGGATAGAGTTAAATGTGGTTGTTTGGAGAAACATTCCAGGCTGGATGCATGGTCAAGCCTCTTTTCCTATTGAGGGAAGAGGGACTTAGCATCATATGCAGTGTTTCAACTGCTCTCTTCTTTCTAGCTGGAAGAACCTTTCTACATTATCTTGACATTTTCAATATATCGATTTGGTGATTATTAGAAATAACATGTACTGCTATCCACGATATAATTTCCACGTTCTTTATCCCTACGGGACTATTGTCTTTTGTGTGGCTTAGGTGTTCCTTGATAAGAGTCAAGATCTGACAAGAAGACTCTCCAATATAGAACGCATCACATCAACACAACACAATCTGTACACACGATCTTGTCTAGATGTAAACGGGGTCTCATCTTTTATTCCAATTTAAGAGTATTGGTTGTTGTTTTTTCTTCTTCATAGAAAGCTTCGATTCTGTGTTTTCAAGATCATTCGTAATTCTCCAATCGCACCTTGGCGATAAGGCAAATACACAGTACCAATAAAAAATCTTCCATTAAAACGGTCATTTATAGATGGATAATTTCGATTTAATATATTTTTAATAGTATTCATAGGACAATTATCAGGTCGTAAGTTGTTATGTTGTCTTTTCCCTCCACCTTGCCCTTCATGTATATAGTTAGATTTAGATTTCCACTAGGATTTCTTTTGACGAAACAGTCTAAGAACAGTAATTCGCTATGTTCATCTTCCTTTTCGAATGTAAATTTGATGTTTGCTGAGAACGTATTTATCAGTTCAAAGAAATTTCTCAGGGGAATTCTCAATGACGACAAATGTGTCATCTATATGTCTGAGCCTGATGCGTGGTCTGATGGTAATGGCAAAGGTAACCGACTAAATATGGAACATAAATAAATTAGCAACAATCCAAGATACTGAAGATCCTATGGCCACTCCACTTGTTTGTTTATTTAAAGTCCCACTGAAAGTCAACAGAGTTGAATTCAAACATAGTTTGGAGGATTTCATGATTGAACTAGTGTTTAACGAACATCACAAAAGCATGATTATTTTATCATTATATTCTACGCCTGTTCTTTATCGACTGATAATTGTTCAACATGTGAATATATACAAATAATGGAAAATACTTGTCACTAGATTTACGTATATTCAAACTGGCGTCTATGAGCTCTACACTTTATTTGGAAAACACTCCAATCTCCACCTACACATTGTCTCATCAGTAATATCGCAAATTTATATCGTACTATATAGAAATTATACTCATTAACTCAACAGACTTTATCACCAGTGATAAGTGAACAGGCACACAAACACTCAGAGTTCTCAATTACTTACATGATAAAGTTAAAATTACATAATTAACTATGAAACAGGGGTCCGAAAACATAACAGGATTTATGCCGTTTTGTCACTTGACAATTGCTAACCTATTTACAACCTATCTAGCTTAATTGTCTATTCAGTCAGTTCATTGGTTAGTCTGTTAGTTGCCTAATTTATTCGCTCCTCTATATATGACTGGTATACTCACCGAATAAAATAAACGGACAGAAACAACCACTTGTTAGGCGTTAACAGAATCATAAAACACTCTTGAAACGTTGTAAGTGTGCACAAATAGAAAACAAAGCGTTAGAAGTGTCAACATTTCGTCGTTGTCCTGTGTAACAATCACAAGGAAAATAAATACGCTCACTAAAAAAGAATGTTAGTGGTCAGTAACTGATACGTTATTCACTAATTCAAACACACTGAAGAATCTCAAGTGTATGTGAGGGATAACTTCGGAATCTACGGGACACTGACAACTAAACTGCCTTTCCTATTCCGCTACACACCCAATCACGAACACAAACGCAATCAGTCGAACGCATACACAAGGATTTTGGTTAGTTCAGTGTGAGTAGCAATAAAAAGCTACGCATAAGAGAGCAACACACTTCACACCATCAGGGTATTAGAAAGGAAACAAATCAAACGGTGAGTAGGTTGATGCATGTGTAAAGTTACAATAACATGACATACACCTGTGGTACTTTGAAACGAATGCTTTTTAATCCGTAGACGACGTTTATGCTCCTTGTTTAAAACTGTCACAGGATTGTCAATGTTGATCTTGGAACTCGACAATTCAGTCGACCCATGAGCGACGAAGGAATGAATACTTACAGAACGTTTCACATGATGACTTGAATACAGAATATTCTACAGGTGAAAATGTGGAAAGCACACAAAGACAAATAACTCTGCACCTATTAGAGTAAACTACACAAAGTCATACATCCATCCTCAAAAGTCACTATGTCAAACTTACTCATTCACATTTAAAAAATTCATACACACAAAATCAACCACAACTAACTAATAATCAACAGATCGTTACCTTCAAATCATATTTCTTGTGAATCGCAAGTCTTGGGCTGAACACATTCCTCATTACTAAGATATACGACTCCTGATCATTCACTGTAAGTCGATAAAGTCCAAGAAATTGAGGAAGCAGTGTTTGGCCGTGTCCTTTGACAATGTACTACAAGAAAGAGAGACACATTAAAAGATAACAATCAATCAGGCGGCATGTCAATAACAAACGATAATCGAAATTCAAACCACACTGAGAGCAACACCAGTTCAACATTTAATTGTTCGGCATTCTGACATTACTGCAAAAGCAAGTTTCGTTTCCGATGCACACTGGAACCATCTGGTTGCTACAACCAAATAACAGTAGCGTTTTGTGATGAATTACGAGCAACATTTACTGACAGCCTTTACATTGCATCAGATACAACAATGCACATGACACAAGAGCTTATGGTTACGTCCTGAAAACAAAATCTAACTCATGAATCTAACAAACCATTCTACCTATTCAACATTATGTACCGTTAATTTACTCATCAAATTAAACTACACCGACACTTCCTGGAGGTAAATATGAAAATGTTTCGCTCCGAGTTTAACGACTCAAACAAATGCACATCTGTGTCAGCTTTTACGTTGTGCATAACTGAATAACTGACTCGCTTGTTAAACGTTTGACCTCTCCGTCAATAAGATTAGTAGATTGTCTAAAAATGGGATAAGTACAAGCATAAGCGCCCGAACGCCCTGGTACGACCGAGGGTAGGGAGAGTTAGCTATACCTCTCAAAACTCTCTCACATGGCAACGTGCATACAACCACTACCAGGGAAGTCATACTCACTGCATTCTCGTGGCGCGGGTGTTATTTAATAAATCGAAAGGATGAAAAGCGAATGTCTGGCGCCTGAACAAGGCTGGTGGACACATAGAGTCCGCCTGAGGGGAGTTGGAAAACCCTCATTCCAAACCAATAGTGCACATGGGATACAGGATCCTGATGGAACAAATGACGTGGGAACCTAATGTTAGTCACCGGCTACCATGGCACTGCATCTTCTTAGGTCGCTTCACCGCCTTGTGGATCAGATCTTTAGGTCGAAGGCTCCGGGTGTGATCCCCTAAGAAAACCACTTGCTTCGGTCTGGACACTCGGTCAGTATCACAGCCCACACATAAATCAAGCCTCTTCGTACCAATATTTATGTGTTCAAATAAATAATTAATTAAAACACCCTCAACAACTCACATTTCCTCTCGTTTCTGCAAGTACAGACAACCACTTCCAATTAAAACATTCATCACTGTGATCGATTGACAAGACAAAGAAAAATCACACTTTAATCGAATCCGTCTTCCAAACGTCTACAAACCTCATCTTGCTACACTGCACCAACTTACTCCAAGGAAACAATCAAATCAGTTGGCCAAATGAATCGAACAAATGCTTCACTACTTACCTTCATCATCAACAAACAGTAGTTGACTATAAATAGACATTCGCTTGGGTAACACTAGCAATTACCACACACAACACAATTAATTAATTAACCTCAAAGAGTTCCTAAGCTATCTTTAATAGGCATTGTCTGCACATCTGTCGTGAAATGTGTACAGCTGAAGTTTGCGTTCAGAACAACTTCTGTAAACACTAAAATATGGTAAAAGGATAATGCACCAATGTAGGTGGGAAATACTAGGACAAGGAAGGATCCGATCATGTCATGACACTTTAAACATTGGAATAACAGAAATGTAACTAGACAATAATATTCATTGTCAACCATTTACAGATAAAATTGTACAATAATATCTATCTGCAAGAATCCAACGGATAATCATCACGTAGTTGAATCGTTTGGCGGACAGTCTATAGTACTTAATCAGTTCAATAAGTAACTAGTCGATGCATTTTGTAAATCCTCAAAAATGAACGTGCTCATGTTAAGTGGATCGAAAGTAAGAGAATATGTTGAAAACCTTACACCAATCAGTCAGTAACTATTGGTTTCTATCACAACGTAACACTGACTTCTCATCGCCTAACTACAAGTTAACTGACTTCTACAGATCATCACAAATCACTCATGATGATGATAAAAGCTGATGATAACACACTCCGACATTGATTCTGCTAACAGGAGTTTGTTCAGCTTTTAACTGAATGCACTATTACATCCCAACATAGTAATATCCGGCGACCAAAACCAGTGCTTCACTGTTGTATCAGAACAAATACCAACCAAATCATCCACTCTCCAGTTAGTATAACAAACACTTACAGAATAATATTCTTCTAACATTTGATGCATTTGTTCAACTTCTTCTGAACTGATTGTTTTGGCTACAAATTGTCGGTTATACGTGACTAGAAATTTTGATCCAGATTTTCCACGCGTACTATCCCACAATGGTTGGTGTCTGGTGAAAGAGTCCTGAAGTACAAATCAGAAGTAGAAGAACTCTGTATACTAATGACAAATAACCAAATGTAATCTATTTACGAGAACTGTTCGTGATGACCAGTCGAAAATTGGTCACTCTGAGTAGGAATCGACATATTCGACACCTGCAGTAAATACAGTGTTATGGAACTCTGGATTCGTCAACACTATTCCATCTAAAAGTGGATACTTACAATGCTCTAGTTTGGTTGACATTCATCTTGCACCACATAGTGCACAACTAAATGCTAAACAGTGAGAACAGTTTCCTGACTACACTCTATGCAGCGACCACTTGATACAACGACACACTTACACCAGTGAGTATCTGAATACACACCGAGTACAGTTAACATATAAACCAACGAACACTAGTTGACATTCTGGCCTCTTTCATTAAATGCTTCACCAACGCGTAATGTAGCTCCCATTTAAAAGGCTGCCAATTATCAGAATATATTAAGTAACAAATCATATCACTCTCACCAATTCAGGCTCAATTACTGTTCATTGTGTCTTTATTGTCCAGGGCAAGCATTCATTTATAATTAGCACTCAGTCAACAAATACCAAACGAACCACCAATTTCCTTTACAATCTAACAACAATACTTTTATGATGTTGAACCCAGTTAATTCAATGTTGAACACAACCAATCAATCAATTCTACATTGATATCACCAAATAATACGGCTTATACAAAAGAGCTAGGATGGAAAACGGTACAAGATAATTTTAAAACACATCACATGTTGTACTGTTGATTGATAGAAACACACAACATTCACTCAATAAAAGTAAAAGCTAGAGAATGGACATGACATTTGAAAACATATGAACGATATTAGGCATTGACAACTACATATTTGCAGCCATATTGTTGGAGAAAGGATAATAAGGCAACTGTTTAATTGTTGCAAGTATTGCCTCCGTAGATAAGTATAAATCCATTTCGATCATGAAAATTCATCCACACACTCACACAACTAATAATGAAACTCATGGGCGTGTTCTCAAAATCGAGTGCAGTTTATTGTCTGAGTGACTAGCAGGATTCTAATCCTGTACTCACCCTGGGTGGTGAGCAGATAGAAGTAGTCGAAAAGTTCGTGTATCTGGGTAGCTGCATAAGTGCTGGTGGTGGCGTGAGTGATGAGATCAATACACGTATAGTGAAAACCAGAGCGGCTCATGCCAATCTGGGCCATCTTCGGCGCCTTCGTGATGTCAGTCTGACTATAAAAGGTCGGATCCACAACGCGTCGGTGAGAGTAGTTCTGCCCTATGTTTGTGAACCCTGGCTTCTCTGAGTTCAGGATGTTAGACGACTCTCTGTGTTTGATCACCGTTGTCTCCGAAGGATTGCTGACATCCAGTGGCAACACCATGTTAGTAATGCAGAGGTTCGGCATCGTGTGTTCGGGCACAGAGACGATAATCCAATTGGTGCCACCATCTTGAAACATCGACTTCGGTGAATTGGACATGTTCTCCGAATGTTGTCCCAAAGCATTCTACGCCATGCATTATTTGCCGACACTCGGACTGGTTGGGAAAAGCGCAGAGGTGGTCAGTGTATGACATGATGTCGTGAAACGAAAGAAAGCTACAAGGGGATGGCTTCTGTTGGTCCTTCTCGACTCCCTAGCTGGGGTCCGAGAGATGGTGCTACACAGTAGCTAGAGACGTTATCATATATGGCTCAGAATAGAAGCCAGTGGCGATCCTGCTGTAACCTTCTTTTACTTTCTTCATAAAAAGTGGTTGTAACTTCCTTAACTGAAAGATTTCTTCTGGCTGTACCTTTCTGTTTCTCTCATTATTATTGTTATTTCACTACCATACACTAATTTGTGGTCGTTATTGTTTTTTTCTTTTTACACGCACCTTACATACTTTACGTCTTCCCATTCTCATTGTTATTGTGTGGAGCATATGTATTTGGTGCCCCTTATACCAATATTTATGTGTTCAAAATAATAAATAAATAAATATTGTCTGAGCGATCCAAATACTGAATGACTATGTAAACTATAGTAGATGGTGTGTGGTCTGAACTTACAAATTAGCAGTTAAACACTCTAATTAACTTAGCACAACCACAAATCCACTGTTGCATAGTATATTTACAGAGAAATGACTGACAATAGTATATTACTTTAAAAAGTCAGAACTTAAAACTTAAAAGGTGAAATCAATAAGATGACGATAGCGGTGTTTGGAGATTCCCCACGTGCAAGATTTATTACAGACTAACAATCAAAGTTATCGACTAAATCCATCACAAACAAAATGTAATTTCATAACAATTAAATACTAGACAAAACTCAGTATTTGCAAGTTATGAATTTCTAACACCATTCACAGGTAGAATGGAGGAGATATTACCATCAACACATAAATCAGCTCCGAATCACCTACCCAATAATCCATCTTGTCAACTCCAAATCGATCTCGTAATGACTTGAACACCATTGGGCAGTACTCCTTAAACTTGAATCTACTAGGCATATTCTCCCTAGAATCACATTCGTCAGCATAAGTCAACCATGAATACAAAAATACTTACTTGTTAAAATGGTGGTTATTAACCTTCACTTTCATATATGCTTTGAAATCGTCTTTCAATAACAGTGCACGTTGCTTCACATGATTTAGAGCGGAAAACGAATAATTTATGCCCCACATCAGTACACTTTTTAATGGTTCATTGGCTCGAAAAAGTTTCAACTTCTGTTTCATGATCCTCACTTTCTTGTGTTTAGACACGGTGGCCATTATTCAAAGATGACAAAGGTTTGGAACGACAACTTAATGATTTAAACAGATTCTAAAAAGTCGAGGAAAGAGAACGGGTTAAAAATCACATACATATGCAATCCGCGTTTAAAAATCTAGGATTTAAAATCGTAGGGTGATATTAAATTTTATTAGATATTTGGCTGATCGATTTTATTTGCAAGAATAGTGATATAAAAGAGTCGCTCTCTATCCAGTTCTTCAAACCACCTTTACATGACATATGTTGAGGTAAATTTGATAGATTGTTACATGCCAGAAAAACGGTAAGTAAACCGATAATGGGAGCCTGTAGAATCTCAGTCCGGATTTAAACGCCTATGTCTTATCCTACTGTTTAATAGCACAAATGCACTTTCTTGTCATTATTTCCATACGTTAACTACATAAACTGATTAAAAATAAGCTGCATGTCTGTTGAGGATACCCACCTGTTTTTTGTCTCTGTAGTAGATTCGGTCTACTTTTACTTATCCTGATTATCTTCGAATGAAGTCGGAATTTCTGCATCAAGATTTTAAATTCACGGTCAGATGGTTTATGGTAATCCATTATGACTTGAATAAACTTCATTTGAGAGAATAACGTAAAATGACCAGGTCTAGAGAGTCTACAAACATATGGCATCTATGTTATTTTAGATCTTTGACATACCTCCCCCAAATGCCCTGGTATGGCCGAGAGCGGGGTGGGTTCGCCCTCTCTCTCGAAATACTCTCACACGGCCACGCGTATACAGCCTCTAACAGGGAAGTCCAACTCACTGCATTCTCGTGGCGAGGGTGTTGTTTACAAAAATGAGAGGACGAAAAGCGAGTGTCCGGCGCTTTAACCGGATCCCAAACCAAATCAATGGTGCACATGGGATACAGGATCCTGATGGAACAAATGACATGTGAACCTATTGTTGGTCACCGGCTACCATGGCACTGCATCTTCTTAGGTCGCTTCACCGCCTTGTGGATCAGACCTTTAGGTCGAAGGCTCCGGGTGTGGTCCCCTAACAAAACCACTTGCTTCGGTCTGGACACACAGGCAGTATCACAGCCCACACACAAATGATGAACTGTATATATTTATGGAATAATTTCACATAACATTACTGAACTTTATCATAGGTTAGTTATTTAGCTAATCACTTTCTGGTTTCGAGACATCATGGACTACTAATAATCAATTTAAAACATCGGGTGAGAACCGCTGGGGTTGAGTGATCATAGCACTACTGGTCGCAGCTTATCTGACCTAAATTTAATGCTTGAGAACTCCAATGTTAATGCCACTTAGCCCTCCCAATATATAAGTTCTGGCTGTTACATGCTTTGAACGATAGCTCAAATTGATCTAGGCTATTCTATTAGGAAGAACTGGTTCGTAACAAGATCACTCACAGCATATTTTCTAGACAGTACTTTTGCAGTAATTAACATTTACTTTCGTTATCGAAAATTACTAGGAGGACCGACGCATCGCACAGCTTGATATTAAAAGGTGAAGATGAAGTTTAAGTTAAAATAAGAATCTAAGTATCCTAATTATGACAGTAGATAAATTTTTCGAAACAATTCTACACTACTTTTCCAAATAACTACTAACATACAATAACTGCAGCGGAATACCCAAACATCAGGTAAGTCCAGGATGAAGGTTGTATGTAGTAATAATGTCACAGGACTGCTAAAACTACTACAAAACCTGCGACTGGAAACTTCGCTTATCTTTAATGCCAATGAATGATGTTCACCACTTATGTGGCGTCACTGATGAGAAGACTGGTAGCACTGATTGGTGAAAGGAGGAAGATTATAGTAAGAATACGTGAAGTTAAATCCTATCGCCATATATTAAATTTAAAAAATTTAAATGGATAAAGAAAAAACGGCTGAAAAATTAGACACATTCCTACTAAAGCAAACAGGGGAGCTTTATGCAATAGATTAGGTACACTAGATGCCGCATATATGTAATCCTTATAAGGACCATCTTGTTTTCTAACGGAATGTCCCCTTTATTTCAGCACGCTGTGAAAGAATAAACGAATTCTCTAAAATCTTGTAGTTTTCAGGTGTAGCTATGTACAAATAGCTGTCAACTGAAACATTTTAATGTCTACTACTTATTATCAACTTCTCAAGGTCAAATGTTCCTCTTAAATTCTGGCCTTAAACTCTATATGATCTCTCCCCATAATCTGCATAACCTTATTATGATAGCCACACGAAGCTTATTACTTGTGATAAATCGGTTCAACAAGTTCTAAAACAACAGAGAGAACTACCATACTTTGATAGCAGGACAGTCTGACCTTGATTTTTCAAGCTTTCGTACAACAGCAAAAGTTCACTCTTCAATGGTTGAAAGATATGATCAGACTCTTTCAGGTTATCGATGTGAAGTTTCACCGAGAATGATTACTATCTAATTTCAACGAGTTTTATGAGTCTATTAACAGATATATGAGTGTGCGAAAACAGTCCAGTTTTTGGTTGAGATCAAGAATTTATCAATTTTAGGCCACTATTAAAAACCTGAAAGCACTGGACGGCCTTTTCGTCCTCATATAGGACTCTTCATCAGAGCACATAAACGATCTCACACACGAGTGAAATTATATAAATCGGTAAATTTACGTTTTTTTTCGTAGTAATCGTGATAACTTCAACCGTATATAATCACAATGCCACCGAATTTCAAAACTATTGAGCTCGGTATTGAGATTTAATTAATCTGTTCGTGACAGCGAAAATACTTAGTAAGTTGTAATGGGGATTTTCATTCCCCTTTTATCTGGTGAACTCAACTGATTCTCCCAGTATCTTTCAAAACAGCGGGTACTTTTTCGCGACCGGAATTCATCAGATGAAAGATTAGGCGTCGCCTCATAACAATGTGACTGATTAGAACAACATATGTAAGCGAACACTTGTCTTCAATTAAATCGTCATCAGGCATTGCTCTAATATACATGAACATTCATACGAAAATGTTAGACTAATCAAGGTAATTTTGGCCAGTAATCACAACGAAATAGAATAAGTCACCACACACAATAGGTAAAAGTACAAGTTTATAGTAGAAAGACAGGTGTACTGACCGTAGTAAGAATAATTATATACGATAACAAAAGTTATATCAATAGTTAAACATCGGAAATAGAAGGTCAAAGATGGATAAATGGAATTAGAATAGCCATCGCAGAACATTAATACCATCACGTAATAAAAAGTAAGTAAATAATTAGATAATGAAGAATACAAACGGAAAGACGCGAAAATTACAAACGAATACTGGACGTGAAAAAAAGGTTAATAATAACCAAAATAAAATAAAAAATAGAATGAAGGGTCGTTTGTTAAGTTATAATTGGCCACGGGATATAGTTAAGAATTTCTTCTGTATACAAGAATCGGGGTTATATGTACGAATTCCTATGGCTTTAGCTATATGTAGGAGACGGGAACGAACTCCGTTGGGAAGTGATGGAGGTATACGATGGATCGATCGAAATGCTTCTGATTTATCTACATTATGGCCGCTATCATTAAGATGTGCCAAGATAGAACGGCGTATTGTTTTTATCTGGCATTTTATAAATTACCTAAATCGTCTCGATTGGTTCAATATTTTCGTATGAATATTCATGTATATTAGAGTACCGCCTGATGAAGACCTAATTGAAAACAATTGTTCGCTTACATGTGTTGTTCTAATTTTCACAATGTGAATCTTTTATATGACTGATACCATATAATATACCTTAGTTTCGAAAATTTCCAAGATCGCTCACTGACAGTGCAACAGTAAATAAATCCCCAAAATAAACAGCTCTGTAAGTTTTCGGTATTGTATGGTGACCACATTAGTTTTAATGGACTCACCTAGCTGAAGGCGCTCGGTCAATAAGTTCAAAGTGCCTGAAATTGCCGGGATTGAAGAAAGATCAATTATCAGCAGTGATAAAAGCGGTGGGTGGTGACAAAACAGCATAAACCACAAGTGAGGTTTATGAGGTGTTTTCATAAAACCAAACTTAACCTGTTGAATTTGAAGAGTTTTTGATTGCAAAAGAATACATGAACATAAGCTCACGAAATCTGCCACGAATAATATAAGGAAGAGAATGCACTAACATCACATACCCTTGGATAGCCTACCCTCTGAAATTTTTATTTGAATTGGCTGTGATATATAGAAAGGACAGTGACGGTTCAGTCAGTGGTTAGCAGAATGGAAACACGAAAACTCCATAAAAGCATCTGTGGGATGGACTGTTTTAGGATCTACGTCATATCATGAATTCGGAAAGTGAAATTTTAATCAAATGTGTAAAGTACAGGTGTTTAAATACCAAATACCTAGGCTTGAAGTCATGTAGTATACCAGTGTGCATTCAAAGATACATCGATGTCAGTAGACCATATGTCTATCATATGGGGAGTGGGGCAGAAAACTTATTTTGGTCTTTGTGTCATTTAGATATGAGCGCAAGAAATTTTCTAAAGTACAACTTCAGTCAGAATATCGTCCTTGGTGGTGTTTACTTCATCTTGTAATGAAAAATTCAAAAAATACAGGAAAACTGAGAATGGTTTTTGATTGTACGTTTTCAGGGAGATCCCTGAATGACATGATTTATCGAGGTCCAGACACCACTGCAAAGTCAATGTACATATTCTTACGTTTTCGCAAAACGCCGTGGCCATCTCTGAGCGTATGGATTAAACGTTTATGCAAGTGTATGTGTCTGAGTCAAAACGTAAAGTTTTCGATTTTTTATGGTGATTGAATGGTGACAAATCGGGGATTTTGCCGGATTTCAGACGACTTCATTTTCGTTGAGGACCACCTCGTCTCAATTTTGTGTGAATTTCGTTATGAATAATACACCAAATGTTCTCCAGTTAGTTATGACTGTTTCTTCATAGACAATGTGCATAATGGTTTCTATATAGATGACTCTTTGATGATTTTTTACACCT